CATTTGCTCATCTTCGACGCGACGAGCCCTTAGGGCTCTGTCGAGTTCGACAAACCATAGTAACAGGGAGTCCTCCGGGACTCCACTGTACTTGGAGATGTCGACTTTCATCACTTCGGGACGACGCGCATGCGCCGTCCCGCCCACAGCAGCATGGAATTGCTGCTGTCTCAACAGCTCCGTCTGTTGAGCACCGAGTTCTCTCAACTGCTCGGCCTGTTGAGAGCCTTGCTGGTGAAGCAAGGCTACTTTCTCCCTCTCGAGAGCAAGTTCATTGTGAATGAACTTGGCGATAGCAGCATGTTGTTGGTCTCTGTCTAGAGACTCCAACATGGTGCTGACGACGAGTTCGCCTACGGTAGAACTCATTCGTTCTACCGCACCCCATTCGATGTCACTCAAATGGGTAAACCCCTTCACGCGTGGCGTGAAAGGTGTCTTCTTCATCCAACATGTTCATGTTGGATGATGTGGTCCTTGGAAGGACTACAAAGTGCTACCAGGTGTAACGGGGCACACCCTTGCGTAACTTAACGCAAGGGATTTGGGTGCCCCGACGGACGTACACGTGGCGAGCGAGGAAGCGTAGGTAGGGTAAAAGTAGAACTGTTATATTAATATAATTAAGTCTTTAAACCACTGTCTCTTCGTTTGACTTAATTCAATTATACTAATATAACTGCCTGTATGGTGACGTCTCGTCACCACTCATTGCGCGCGTCTTGCGGCGATTGGTGGGTTGATATCATCACGATATCAACCAATGAACAGACCCTTCTGGTCGACCCTTCAATATCACCGCTTCGGTGATATTGTTTAAAGAATATCCATCTTATATTCTTTATTGTCACTTTCCTTAAGTGACAATATTATGTAACGGGCTGCCCCGTTACAGCGTCGGGTGACCATACGAATGCTGGATGAATAAGTTGGGTCTGAGAAGGGAAAAGTTACGCGTGTCCGTGCCCGCAAGCTGTTTGTTGTGTTGTCTATCGTACTGAAGCCAGACATGGCCCGATACTGTGATTTTCGTCGACGAAACAAGCGCCGAGTCTGATCGCACTGGGTCTGCATTTTGTCTTCCAGTTGTGTAGACGTCAAATTTGATAGCCGGTCTCCGTCAAACAAGACGTAGAGGGAAGAGAGAATGAAAGTAAATGGATCGACTGTTTTGTACCGGAGAATGTTTTGTCCTTCTTACTCCTTGTTTCACTACGATACCTTCTACGATATGTTATTCTCCGTACGGAGTCAAGGCATCACTGACGTATATCCCGATAGAACGGTTGAGTGTCGCTACGACCATTAAGCGCTGTAGCTTAAGGAAGGTCACGAGAAATCTGCGTGTAGCACCGCTTGCTGCAAGACGTGCAACATTGTCATTCAGGACCGATTACTCGGTACGTTCATTGCCTGTGACATTGCTTTTTGAAGTACTTGGTGTGCAGATGCTTTACTTGTTGCACGGTCCAAGTCTGTCACGAGCGCAGTTTGTGCTTCTGCGATAGACAGACTGCTGCTGTAGTGGCAAGGCATCTTTGCTAGTCATATGCAGGGCAATCGTAGGCAGAATGATAGTGCCACGGGCAGAAAGCGAGCGATTTCTAGTGTGACCACGTAACGGAAGACGACTGCGCATGATCGTTTCTAAAAGCAAAATGCATTACTTTCACATAAATTACATTCATGTCGGCTCGCCATCATTCATAGATCAGAATTTGAAAGCGTAAATTACAGCCATGTAATTTACGAAGCCGCAGTGCGGAAGGCGAATGCGTCGTCCACCAACCCACTGTTGCCTCCGCCATGCATCGGCAAGTGTTTTGGAAAGCTACAAATGCACCAATACATCCTATCTACCATTCCCATAACTTCTATAGCACAAGGGTGCCCGAAGGCTGAAACATGACGTGATCTTGCTAGCTGTGGAATTTTTACTTGGATAGGACGACCTGCACAACAAACATCGGGTACGACTGAGCATGATGGAATTCCTGCGCTCTGCGTCAGTCTGGCTTTGCTCAGAATAAGTGCAACGGGTCACAAAGAGCTACGACAGGCTCGTATCGGAATAGGCTTACGCCTCTTCTTCGAGTGTGGCCCAGCAGCCCAGCTGTGGTCGTTTGTCAGCCGCGATTGGGATCCCCCGATCGGCTCATCCGTGACGTGGACGCATACCGTTGACCCTTCTACGGCCCCACTCAGTGCTTCCCGGACTATTGATGCTAACGCATTGATACTGGGTTGGTATACCTTCCGCGCCATGATACTCCACCAGCCCTGGACCCAGCGCAATGCGATTACAATGAGCATCGACGTCTCCACGCGCTTACTCAGCATTTGCTCAAGATTTACACGACATCTGCTGCCCACCTCCGGTATATTCACCGCGGAGTTATTCCCACAAGCTCTCTTGGTCAGATCGTGGACGTCCTGCGTACCGAGGGTTGCGGAGCTGTCGTCTTGCGCCGCTTTTCGCGTCCACTTGCAACTTGCGATGTTGCCAATCTCGTCCCTGTCAGTATTCTGCGCGGTCTCGTTGCGTGCTCCCACTAAACACTGCCTTTCGCCATTGAAGTCTTGTCTACATTGGTCCCACCGGCAACTCGGTTACCTGCTCCGTGCAAGGCCGCACAGGTCGTTGCTGTAATCAACTGTTGTACATAGTTGAGAACTTCGAAGGCTAAGTCAACACAGCCGCCTTCGAGAGGAATAAGCTTACGCGCCCGTCAGCATGTTGCCGGTACGACGTCTCAAATCATGCCACCAGCTGTCCCCTGTTAAGAGTGGCGCTTGCATGATGGTTACGCCACCGGATGCTGACGACCACGATGGTCATGGCAACTTTGTCTTTTGATTTGGCAGCTCAAGCACATCAGTGTGTAAGAAAGAGCGTCACCGTTACCAGCGTCGGGAACCGCGAGGCCGGTAAGTACACTCTTGTTCCTCACGATATTGGGTCGAAGCGGCTCGAGCGTCAGTAGCTGGCGATTCGTAGCTTGTGCTCGGTGGTCAAAGGCTCTTTGCTAGAGCAGCGACGTTTGTGTACATATGGCAGGGCCGTGATAGCATAAACCGCTACAAAACGGAAGTTATTGTGTACGTAGAGTGTGGAGTGCAAAAAGCGACGCCCAGTCCTACCTCGTGATCATTCTGCGCTCACCTGAGTTCATCTGAGCTTGCGTGGTGCCACAAGGACTTGCAGTGGACACGCTCTTTTCCTTTCGGACGAGATCGAGAGACAGTCGGACATGGGCTCGCTGGCATCATGAAATGCATGGTCAGCGTTTCCTGGGACGGCGCAAGAAGGACAAGGCTCAAATCCTTGTCTTGCCAGTCAAATGCAGACCAGAGAGACAACAGCGGTCCGTGGCACCGTATTCATATGCACTAGTAGAAGGCTCGTGCCACGGTCGAAGTGGTTCGGGCATTTATGTGCACTCAGCAGCAGCAGCGTGCTCCGCTCTGGATCAGAGGGTCAGACGAAATGCAGTCGGTTGACATAGAAGAGTGATGCTCTTGAGCTGGTCTCCGATAGACATTCGGATCACTCGCTTCGACCGTCGCACAATGCCGTGCGCTGCGCATGTACCATAAGGTCCGCTTGACCGAGCGAAGATACTTTGGCATCTCATCAAGCATGTCGATAGAGCGGGACGTCATGGCGGCATAATCAAATCGCAAGAAACTGGACACGTTGGTATCGTCTGGTCAGCTGGCTGGGTTGAAAAATCGTCAGCAGCCAGCTGGCGGGTCCCTGCCGCACGCATAATCTAGCTCTTCGCATGCCCTGCACTATCGGCTTCCGTGGAGCCAGAGCTGCAGAAGACGATCATGGCCGACGCGACAATGACGCGCTTCATGGACAAGGCCAGTGCTCATGCGCTTCCATTGTCTGTGATCATCTCCAGGTCGGACGACGCCGATCAATACAGTGGTGCACATCAGCAGCCGCCTGCGACATGGCGGGTCCGAACCGGCACTCGAGCCGAAGTCGAGTGAGGATGCCAGAAGATTGATCTGCTGGTCCGGGACGCGCGAAAGTAGCTATGGGAGCCGCGAACGAGATGCAGGTAATGCATACGCAGACAGCCGATCTACGAGCGCATGCCAAATCCCAGAGAGTGGAATCTCTTCTCGAGTGACGACGACCTGTAAATCGAGCGGCGCGACTTCATCGCATTGCCCACCCGCCCACCGTAGACGTCCAACTCGAGCAGCCCGTCTGCGAGACGTGTGAGTGCCGTCGATGGCCAGCGGTCGTAGCGATCGCCTCGCTTTCGCTAGCCATTGCAACGATCAGGCAGACCGTCACGAGCTCAAATGTACATGCTATGCGTTAGCTCCTCAGCACCGCGTGGAAAGCCGCTTTGCCACCACGGCTTCGTCTATCTTCGAGCCACAGTCTATCGATCAAGGCTATAGGTAGAGTCAGCTACTCACAGAGTCAGTCGATCACGGACCTTCCTCGCTGCAGCAAAAGCTCACGAGAGTATCCCACGACCAACGCGTTTGCTATCGCATGTTGCCATCTCCACCAGCGCATTCGGCTCAACGCGTTCCTACGAGTGGGCAGCCGAGCCCCATCGTCTTGCACCCGCCCCGTTCGCGCCTGGCGGTGTACCAAGTGGCAACTGTCCGCCGCGCCTGCCTCTTGTCCGCCTGATGAGGGCTCGAGCGGACGGCCGGGCCGAACAAACGGCTCTGACCTTCTCGAAATGAACGTAAAAACAAGCGCACAGCCGGGTCTCGGCTCCCTACGGATCGATCGGTCGGCCGACCACGCGACGATTGTCCATCAGACGTGCATTTTTCAACTCGCTACGCATCGCGCGAGCGCAAAGCCCGTGGACTGGTTGGCTGGCTGATTGTCTCCTTCACTGCCCGTCTATCTGTCGTCACTTTTGACGTCGACGAGCACTACTCCACTCGCGTTTGCAGGCATTGGTCAAGTTGCAGCTATGATTGCTTGTGGATCGAGCTCGCCGCTACCAGTCGCTATGCGCGAGGCGACACCGATCTCGCCAACAGCCAAAGGGATCTGGTCCCAAGAAGAGCACGATCGCTTCTTGGATGCCATGAAGCTCTACCCCAAGGGGCCATGGAGAATCGTTGCCGATCACGTTGGCACTCGGTCTGTGCGGCAGGTGCAAACCCATGCACAGAAGTACCAGGAGAAGGTGTCGCGTCGACTCCGCGGGCTGCGGAAGTGCAAGAAACGACTAGTGCGACCGGAACACCGCATCGATGAAGACACAATGGAACTGTGCAAGCTGGTCGCCTGTACGGTCCAACAACTAGTGGTAACTGGAGACGACAATGCGTCGCTCGGAGCGATGAGCGTCGAGCCGATGGCGCTGTCGGAAGAGGACGTTGCGACGCCAGAGGTGCTTGGGACTATCGACAGTCCGCGTGGCACTGATACGAAGATAAGGACCGATGACTTGTTGCCATTGCCATGCGCGGAAGTTGTCGACGAGATTGAGCTGGATCCACTGGCCATCCCCACCGTGAGCGAGTCACTCGACTTCCTCATCGAGTACCTGTCGACATGACTCTGCCTTGAGCACTAGCGGATACCAACCAGTGCAGTAGCGACGGAATAGACCGTCATCTCTGGCAAAGGAGCTGCTGTCATCGAGCAGGAGACGTATTGAGCATAAGAGGGAGAGGCTTCATATTTATATCGTAACGAGCCTTACAATACAAGTTTACCCACAAAAGCGCAGTACCTCGGACAGCCGATCTCGGAGCACCGCCAAAGCCGAGTTACCTCTCGATCCAACAACACCCGCTGCTCGATCTTTGACTGCAGCATCTCCATCCCGGCGGCAAACGGAGTCATTTGCCTACAGTGCTGCGACAATGAGCCTGTCATGCCTGCTCGTCGACCTGCTTGTATGCACCAAAGCAAGTACGCCCACATCAACGGGCAGCACCATGACAACAAAGTGCTGCCACCACGTACGGTTTGCGCAAGTGGAGAAGAAGGCGTTCACGTATGGAGTGTCGGAACCCAATCACCCACATCGAGGACAGACGTCTGTTGCCACACGTTGGTGCAAGGGTTAATGTCCAGCGTACGGTCTCGCGCATGCGTACCGGCCTCGCCCCTCCCTGATCGGATCATGGCGGTTGATGTGTCAGATTGCGAACATTTGGGCTGTATGCTGTCCTGTCACGCAGTCCGTGTACTACAATTGGCAAGCACACCTGTTCGGCTTGCAGTAGCTTGGTCTACTGTAGCCGAAGGGCATCAGTAGGCATCGGTACTCTACTCGCGGCAAAGAAGGAGTCTTATGATTGAGCACAAGTAGTCAAGTGGATGGTCATCATGATTTGTTTACGACCAAGAAAAACGGTACTGATCGAAGGAACAACAGCTTGCTGCCTTGTCACATGTACGATCTGTTGACTCAGACAGAGAGCGCGGTCAACAAATGATCGCAGACGCTTGGCCCAGTTTACCGTTACATGGACGGCCCTGTGCTGTTCTGTGAGACCTTTGCTGCTGGTGCTGTTTACAACGCTGTCGTATATGCGCGTACTCCACGCTTGGACGAATGAAAAAACAACGGCCTCCGAGAGCCAGCGGCGGCCGCTGCGAACGAGTTCAAGGTCAAGTTGCTGTTTCCGTGTGCAGCAACAACTCCGTGTCTTCCGCAGCACATCGAGCTTCGACTGGTACCGTAGCTGCTGTAGCTCAATGCTCGACTGGCTAGCAGACCTGTGTAATTGCGGCTACCTAGAGCCAGAGTCAACCGGCGCGGCGTCGTTCGTATTCCCGACACCAGTGGGTGGGTCCGTGCAGTGTCGTGAAGCAGATACCAGCAAGACGGCTGCGCAGCTTGCAGCTGAGCTTTTTTTTCAGAACAGCCCGCGTGGCTCATTCGCCAAGCACATGTACACTCGTCGTTTTCCCCTGCTCACTGCGCAGAATAGTCTGGTCTATCGTCTGTGTCGAAACGTTGACCTGCTGTTCCGACCACCATTTGACCATACGCCGCTAGCAGCAGGAGGAACGACCGCGGCGGCTCATGCTGGGCCAAAAGCACAAGCTGTGCCGTCAAGATACGTGGTAGTTAGGAACAGGCGTGGAAAGGGACTGCTCCCGCTGTAATGTGCCTTCTGCAAGTTTGCCGTACACGTGCTGCAGATCAGGGACTTGACCCTCGCGCTGCGAAGATAACAGCGTAAATTACCGCAGTCAAAGCTTGGACGTTTTGTCTATACGTGGGATGGACACGACTGCGAAGCACAGTCTGTGCCCGATCGCTCGTATGAGCACGAGCTCGTGGAAGTTGGACCGTCATTCGGTCTACAAAAACGATGGCGGCGGGGCAGTGACATGCTGCTCAAAGCCTTGATAACGTCGGGAGGGCGGACCATTGCAAAGCAGACTACCAGCTACATGGAGGGACTACTTTGCCCACACTTGCAGGCGTGGGTCGCCCGCGTGAAAACAAACAACGCTTGTTTACTAAGATATGGATGAAAGCAGCTGCGTCGATCCCGTCGACCAGACGCAGTGGATAGATATCGATCTGGTGACTCCCATCCTGGCCGCCACGACGAGGCATGCATGAAGCGCAAACATGCAGGTACATCAAAATTTCACGTGGCCTCGTTCCTCGAGAGAACAGACGCGTCCTGCGTGAGCGTCGATCGGTCTATTGACAAGCAGCAAAGTGCACTGTGTGGCTATTGTCTCAGCAAACGACTTCGTTCTGCCGGTGGGGACCGTCAGTAGCTGCCACGCGAGCCGCGAATTTCGCGGACAGCAGCAGACTATGTTCTTTCGATTTGCTCGTGCCGGTGGTCGTACCGTTGACGACGGCTGCACGCGAGGGATCGCGCATGTGAAACCGCTCTCAACGGCCGCATCGAAAACACGCGCGTCTGTGGAAGGTGTCAAATACGCCCCAACCACTGCGTATCGCTCGCTGCTCGCGGCAAAACGCACCAAAGGTGTCGTCAGCAAGTAAACAAAAACTCAACTGAAGGGTAAGGAAAATATAAAGTGTATAAATGATAGTATCTCCTACTTCCAGAGACGTCCTCTTGGGTCGTTGTTGTTGTTTTGTTGTTGTTGTTGTTACGGGGTGCCGCGCGTGGGCGCAACACTATAAGTTAGGCAAGCAGCAAGTCAATCGACTCTTGCACGTCTTGTCGATACGCTTCGTCGGCTAAGACTTCCTCGTAGGATACCCCGGACGTGAACGGCAGCGGGTCCATGTCGCCCATGAGTGCGTCCATGTCCATAAGTTCGAAATCTACGTCCAAGCTCGTGCTGCTGCTGCTCGTGCAGCTCCTGGCTTCGCTTGCCACGGGGCTGCACGCGCCCGTCAATAGCTGGCCAAAGGTGCCGCTGAGCGGGGACATGGCGCCCATGGGGAACGACGACGGCGAGCGGGGCGATCCTTGCATGGCAAAGTTCTTGACGCGCTGGATGCAGCCTGTTGCGTCGGCGTCCACGCGGTGCTCCGGCCGCACGAATTTCTTCTTTTGTTTTCGGAGTCCGCGACGTCGGCGGTTGATCTTCTGCTGGTACTTCTGGGCGTGCGTCTGCACTTGTTTAATGGATCGCGTGCCGATGAAAGCAGCGATCGAGCGCCATGGACCCGTTGGGAACATCTTCATAGCATGGAGGAACTGCTCGTGTTCCTGTTCCGACCACAGGCCGCGAGTGATCGGTGCAGGCGCAGGAGGCGTCACGGCGCGGTGTCCGCCGCGTGCGCTCATTGGTGACGTTGGAATCGCAATCATCATATTGACGGAAGCGGTGGGTGGTTTGTTGTTGTTGTTGTTGTTGGGCCTTTTGTTTAGAGTGGCAATGGGTGTGCGAGTGCGGAGGGGCTGCGGGGTATGCAGCTCGAGCCAAATCGAGAAATGATCATGAGTGATGTAATGCCGCGGGGCCACTTTTGGGCTCGTCCTCTCTTCTCCTTGACACGCCGGTGGCTCGTCTGCGTGCGTGTGAGTGTGAGTGCAAAGAAGGAGATGGGCACCATCGCGCGGGGTTAGGGGTAATGTATGGCTCCGAGCGATTTGTAGCGAACGATTGACCAATGGCAGCTGGGCAGCCGGTCGGCTCGTCTGACGCGCACAGCAAAACGAGCACGTAAATTATCAAGCGGTAAATTACACGCGTGCTGTTCGAGTCCAAGCGGCGCATGAAACGTGCTCGATCAACGAATGCAAGTCATGCCGTGATCGTGGATGCGCTCTCGATAACCTCTTGTCGTAGCTTCGCTTTGCTCTCGTCCCTCGTTTTGCCGCTCATTTTGCAGCCAGTTAAGTCGCGAAAACACGTCGTCAAAACCGCCAACGACCACGCGATAAGGTTCGCCGCTCAGGATCGCACATGCATGAATCTCGGCATTGTGGTTGAGGTCCAAACGGTCCACTTTTGCGTCTGTCTAGTCTACGATCACCATCGACCGCGCATGTAGAAATCCCGGCAGACCACTCCACTCAATAGATGCGCCTCGACTTTTCGCAAACAAAGAGCTTGGTCGACGAGCGCACTTGCTTCAAGTTTGAACCTATGCGAGCGAGAACAAATTATACAAGCTGCTGCATCATCGCATAGCATCGTGCTGTCCTAGATAGCACGTTGAGACCGAGTTGTGGCCGTTGCAAGTCGTCCTTGCGAAAACACACGCGCAAATGTCTCTGCAAGGAACTTGTTCCACGAAAAGAAGCAGCCGGTCGGTCGGTCGGTTCGTCGGTTCGTCGGCCGTCCAAGTGAGTGGCAAAGTCCCGTCCGTTTGTCCGAAAGAAAAGATAGATTACTTTGCCAGCCTTGCTTCGGTCAAGTCTGCGACACCCGCTTTCTCGTCGTGTCCGGATTGGCGAGGCCCGAAAAGATCTTTCGAGCATCGCGCGCCGTGTGCTGAAACTGAAAGCGCAGACTACGATGGACGAACGGCAGTCGATACCAGTACAAGAACTAATTAAAGTCCAGCAAAGCACTTGGTGTCTTTTTGTCCGGGCCGCTGTCCGATATGCGACCGTGACGCTGCGATGGTCCTTCGGGCGGCTTCCTTTCGCAGTCCCTTCTTTCCGCTCCTTTCGCTTCCGCGGGGCTCACGGGGCTTTCGTCTCCAGCTGCATTCGTCTGCTGCATCATGCGATTGCTGACTCGTCAAGCTTGCGGATGAGGCACCAGACGCCGCTTCTACTGCCGCGTGCAGCCTACCTTTTTCTTCCACGGAGTGGGAGGCCGGGCCAGCTTGCATGGGACCCGGCGACACTGGCCGGCTCTCGCTGGTGAAATGCCGCGACTACGTGCAGGACTTGGCGAGGTACAACTGTCTGCGGGCAACGGTAGCACCGGCGGAGGGGCGGTATCAGGTAAGTTTACAGGCGATGATGATGCCACGACGACCGATCAAGTCAACGCACTTCAACAACGTACCAACAGTTTTTTTCTGCGCGGCGTTCACTCCGAGTTGCGAGCATGTGGCCCGCACACAAACAAACTACCACCACCACCACCAACTTGCAAGTAAAGAAGGAGGAAGGGGTCGGCTGACCACGTCACTGTCGAGACTTTGGTCCGACTTGTCTCTGGCCTGAGCTTTCGTTGGCGTTCCTCAGTAGCAATTGCGTGCGTGCGTGTGTGCGCGTGTAGTGAGTGTGTACGTTTACAGAAATAGCTGTAGTACCAGTGTCAAGCATCGCACGGGCGCAAAAACCCCGTTTTACTCAGCCTCACGATTGCCGACTTCTACAGGGTATCGAGTGTGACAAGGTGCAAAAGATAGGCTCGCGCGCCGATTCGGACGGCTTCAAGATCGAAATGGCTTCTTCCCGCACCGATCGAGCAATATCGTTTCAGAAGGGTATTGGACGCGTAGAGGTCTACAAACTCACCGGCTCATCGCCGTTACACAGAAACCCAACCTTTGTCTGCTGGCTTTTCTCACGCACGTCTGCGCGCGACCGCAGCAGCGGCACTCTGACCGCTGAGAAGTCACCTCAAAACATGCGATGGGGCTGCAGGTGTCGCGAACGCGCGTCGGCTTTGCCCTCGACGGCGTGTGGAACGAGAACGTACTGCACCGACAGAAGCGCTCGAGACGATTGTGCGCGCGAGGGAAAATCGAAGGCAAACCATCAGCTTTGAGAGGAGCGATTGAGCTGATTTTTGCCTCCAGTAGTAGCACTGGAGTTGATTTTTGCCTCCGGTAGTAGTACCGAAGTTGATTTTTGCATCCAGTAGGGAGTGATCCGCCGCATGGGAACGAGATCGCACGTCGCGACGATGCACCGCCCAGAGCAGATGCGGTTGGCTGCCCCAAGTCGTACCACTTTGGACGAGCAATTGCGAGGCGTAATGTATTCGGAGCGGAGCTCGTGCGAAGACGACGAGCGACTGCAGCCCTCAGTTGCGGATTTGACGCCGGCAAACACTCGTGGCAGCTGGTGTGGTCGATGAGGCTATCCCACGGAGCCGTCTGCAGACTGCACTAGCTCCGAGACGGAAGATACGAGGACCAGGTTGCAATCCAGTGCGGACGCGAAAAGCATCACGAGCTTTGGCAGGTCTTGTTGGCATCCGACAAGTGCCCCGAACAGCACTTGTCGGATGCCAACAAGACCTGCCAAAGCTCGTGATGCTTTTCGTTATCTACCAGCAGATCGCAGCAGCAGCCACCGCGGGGGTAAGACTGACTGACGGACGGACGGACGGACGGACTTGTGCGATCGCCAAACAAACGGTCAAGTTGCGAGTAGCATTACACCGTCATGCAGTAGGAAAACGTCACTAGACGTCCACAATGGACGACAGCAGCAGCAGCAGCAGTAGCAGTAGTAGCCTCTTCTATCCATCCGGCACCTCCGTCCTCTGCGCTACGCTGCTACCGTCGACAGTCGACGCCGTTTACGTCTCTCCTTGTCAACGTCCTCACTCTCCTCCTCCTCCTCCTCCTCCTCGACAACACCAATGACATTCACCTTCTCGTCCACCTGCTCTTTCTTGCGCTCGTCCACCTGCTCTCTCTTGTGCTCGTCCACCTGCTCTCCCTTGCGCTCCTTCACCCGTGACGACGACGACGACGACGACCGCACGTCGCCGCTCTTCCGCTTCAAGCTCCTGCGCGCTTCAGCTCGAGCTGCGCGCTTGTCAATCTCAAATGCAAAGCCCACTGGCGTCGTGAGCTTTGGCCGTCGAACCGCTGGGACGCCGACGCCGCCGCTGGCCGACAGCGCTCTCGAGAACTGGTCGCTCTTGCCGGGCGCAGCGCTGTGCGTCGTCGCGTCGTGGTACCTCTGCGTCTTGCGCTTCTGCGCCTGCACTCGTTTGCGGATCGCTGCGATCTCCAGGAGCTCCCGCGACGTGCGCGTCAACAGATCGGCCCGCGAACGCGGCGTCGCCGTCTTCAGCGAGCGGAACTTGGGCGACTGGGGGACCGTCAGACGGCCGTTTTCCTTCGCCACGCGCGCCAGTCGACGCCGTTTCTGCGCCTGCTCGCGCGCGTCGGCCCGCGCTTTGTCTTTGCCCGTCAGTACTTTTGTTCGGGAGGCTGCGAGCGACGCCTGCGTGGGCCGCAAGAGGCGGTCAGACGACGAGATGGCGCGCACTTTGGCGACGCGTGGGGGGACGCCGCGGTACAGCGCGTGGGGGTCGTCGGGCGTCGCGGGGGGCGCCATAGATCGCAATGGTTCGAGCCGTCTGTCTGGCTGTGTGTCTGTGTGTCTGTCTGGCTGTCGAACTTGTTCGGTCGGTCGGATGGGCCTTTTGGGCCACGCGGGACTTGCACCATACAAACAGCAAGTGAGTTTTGGGTCAAAACCCGGCTCGGCTGATGTTGAGTTCAAACACCGAGGCGAGGATTTCGACCAATGCGGGTGGAGAAGATGCGTGCGTTTGTTTTGCACCAATCAGGTGGATCAAATGACGAGTTTGTCAGTTGGTCAGTCACGACCGAAGTTAGAACGCACGTGAGGTTAAAAAGCATGTTTGTGTGAAATCGTGTGCTGGAAAGCAGTTACGCGGGTGCCAATGTGTGTTAGAAAGCACGTTAGGTGAGAGACCTGTTTGTTCGAAAACACGTTGGTCGCCTGAAAGTTCGCACATCTGCATCCGGTACTTGCTCGATGACGCGATGGCTACATTCGTAAGCACCGGGTCGCCCTGATCAGGACGGCATGGGCGCGAAAGGTGGCAACGAGCCTGAGGCCGCGCACGCAGAACGACTCCGCTTGCTTTACCGAGTGACAACATGAAGCGCAACGTGACATCGCAGGCGTTGCACCGTTGGACGCCCTCTCCTGAACCTCAGAGCGCCTGCACCACTGCAAAAAGACACGAAAACGTCGAGGCAACTGCCAGCCATTGCAGGCGACAGAGCTGACGCAATTGCCAGTGCTCGTTGCAGTCAGTAAGCGGAGAGAAGCGGTCAACTAAACAGTCAGCGAGCGACACCGCAAGAGCGACACGACATTGTTATCGGAAGCTTAGCACGAAACAGAAGCAATGGCTACTGCAGCAATAGCACTGTGCGAGGCAGGCGCCCAACCAACCGATCCATCGATCGACTGACTGCACCCCCTCCCCCCCACCGACAACTGCTTCTTCTTCTGCATCCTCACTGGGTGAGCTTCTCCCACAGCTTGTCCACGTCTCCACGCGAGTCAGCCGCCAGACTGCGGCCGTCCAGCGTGATCACTTTGCCCTCGGCGTCCACAAACACGAGCATGGGGATCCCCGAGACGCCAAACTTGGCGCTCAGCATCTGATGCGTACTGCGCTCCTCAAACGGCAGCGCCAGGAACGTCATCTCGTTGTAGTACTCGCTGTACTGCGCCGCGTCTCGGTCCGACGAGACAAAGATCAGCTCAAACTCCGGGTGCTGCTCGACCATATCTTCGTACAGCGAGCTCAGGAACGGCGTGAACTGGCGACACGGCGGGCACCAGTGCGCGCTGAAGTAGAGGCCCACGACCTGTTTGCCCGCGAGCTTCGCGTCCGTGTCGTGCAGTCCGTCTTTCGTCTGGAGTTTGGCCCCGAGGAGCTCCGACCACTGCATGTTCGTGCGAGCGACTGAGTCTCTTTTCGACTGTGTGACTCTGTAGCAGAGGGCGACGACGGAGATCGGGTCCTTCGACGGCAAAAGACCAACTGCGGCCGAAAGATTGCGTGGGGACGGACGGACAGAACAGTGTGGAGGAGGCAAACCCGAAAGTGACAGTACGCACGGTACTGCCGTTTCGGTCAGTTTTCACTCGAACATTTGCAGCCGTCGTAGCGCGGCCGAGACAGGATAATGACGATGCGAATGCTGCTGCTGATGATGCGTAATCCCGACAATCGAGTCAAGTCCTTTTGGAACTCTCGTTGGTCACACGCACGTACTGACTGACTGACTAACTGCTACAGTCGATGATGATGCACCAAGAGCTCGTGTTGCTCGCTACGTCAGTGTATTGACGGCATGCGAGGAATCGTCGGTACGACCACATCGACTCGGATCGAACGTGCTGGTCAACGACAACTCGCACTCGCAGACCTTACGGACGAGTAGCCCATCTACACTGGTCCACTCGTCTCTAGCGCTTTCGCCTTTGCAGCGGTCTCGCGCGCCAGTTTCTTTGCCAAGTGGCGACTCAGGGGCTTCTTGGACGCGTCAAACTCACGCAGCACGACCGTCAAGTGGGTGTACGGATGGTGCATGACGCCCGAACGTCCTGCATCACACACGAGGCACAACAACACGCCATAACAAGCACACCGTCAGCTCCCTCCTCTCCTGTCTCCCTCCGCTACCAGACCTACTCTTCCACACACACGCACGCACACACGCACATGACAATACACGCACCTCGGCCCATGATCCGCATGCGCTTGAGGTACGCGCCCTTGTTCACAAAACACTCGGCCACCATGAGGTTCTCGGGCTCAATCTGATACTTAATGTCGGCCAAATTGATCGCGTTTTGCACCGTCTTTTGAAAGATCTCGGCCTTGCGCTTGGGCGAGAACTTCATCTGCAGCAGCGCCTCCGTCGCAGACAATCCGCGCAGCTGCTGCGCCAAGTACGTGAGCTTGCGAGGGCTCGCGCGGATCGCGCGCTTGACCGTCTTGACCGTTCGTGGCTCCGACGCAATCGACGACGTGGAGCTCAGGAAAGCGGCCGTGTCGGCGTCCAGTGCATCGCCCGGTGGCGTCTTCGCGCCCTCAGCTGCTGTCGACAGTGCTGCTCGGATCACCACAACGTTGCGGGCGGCGGGACGGAGCGACAAGGCGCCCATCTGCGCGCGCAACAGAGTCAGCATCGTGTCCGACGTTGGCGGCCAGTCACTACTGCTGGGTCGAGAAGAGTCCAATTAATTGGAGAGAGAATGGTATCGTGTTGGAGAGGGTGGGCGACGTGTACCCATGCCCCTGGTTTACGCCAACAAACAGACAGACGGAGCAGGTTGAGGTCGGCGGAAGGTCGTACGTGTCCGTGTCGCACACGTGCAGGTTCGGCCTCGAACAAAATGGCTTCAGCTCTTGTATTTTAGCGGAGCGTTTCCGAGGTAGAAACACAAGACACGCGACTACTATAAACATGATCGACTTTTTCGTATCCTCTCCCCCACCAAGACCGCTGCGTTCTAGATTGACTGGACTGCCACCTTTCTCCGTGCTTCTCTGTCTTCGCCACGACATACAAGTAAGTCAGTACCCGAGGCACGAACCTCTCACGCGAACGGCGACGTCGTGCGTGTCTTCTTGTCCGATATCCAGATGCGCAGCTTTTCCAAGTTGTCGAAAAAATGGTCCGCGCCTTCGTCTTCATCGCTATCAAATGCACCGGCGCTCATTCGATCCACGCTTGCACGACAAGCCACGCTCACTCGATCCGAATCGTCAGGCAGCCATTCAATGTGCACCTCGATATCAGTTCGATTCGATACGAGCGGCATGAGGTGCGACACGAACCGCTGGCGAGAAGCGGGTGGAAGAGACGGTATCTCGATCCCACGGACTGTGATCTTTACTGCAGACGTACCCATCACGATGTCGGCAATCCACTCGCCCAAGTACTCAAACTTGTCCGGCCGTCCCTTACAAATATCGCGACGAAGCGACAGTAGGAACTCGGGCGTGAAATGCTTGCACTTCTTCTGTAGCTTGTACTGTACAGTTGCCTCGCTCAGCGCCTGCATTTGCTCCGAGTTTTCCATGCCATGTGTACCCATGTCATAGCACTCACTGCACAAGTTGTAATTTGCACAGACACTGCACGTCCAGAGCGCGCCTGTGATCGGGTCCATGCCGCAGCCATCGCAGAAGGAATCTGAATGCACCAGCGTTTTCTTACGCTTCCACCTGGATCCAATGATCGATGCTCCTTGGCTCATTGCTGCACCCAGGCGCCCTATCAAAGGTTTCGCGGGTGAGTGCTTCGTGTCTGGAAGACTCTTGGACTGCACTGCGTCCTTGTCGTGCACGTCGCGCTGAAATACGAGCGTCCGCGGTACAGACGACGTTTGTATGATCTCAAGCACCTGCTCGTTCGTCGTGTGCGGCTCAATGTGCTGCCCGTTTACGCTGACTAGACAGTCACCGACTACGACACCACCACGATGCGCTGGACTGTCCTTCTCCACCCCCGATACCTCCACCAACAGTTCCTTCTCCAACGACATGACGACATTCGTCTCAAAACCCAGCACTGCTTCGGTAAACGTCAGCGTGTACGAGTTGAACGAGCGCTCCACAGAGTCCGCCACGGATTGCGAGCGCAGTCCTAGCTTGTCATCCGAGGCGTGGGCCGCACTTGCACTGGACGAGTTTCGACCTGAAGACTCGCCGCTGCTTGTCATACTGTCCGAGCTAGTTACAACCACGGGTGCTTCGCTAGCAAAGCGAGGCGGTTTGTCATGAAGTGCTACACGACGCAAACTGTGTAGCGCACGAGCTGACGATGGATCAGAAGCCACACTAGGGCCCAGAAAGCGATGCGACGCAAAATCGTCTTGCCCTTCGCCAAAGCCAGCAGCACTGGCATAACCAAGAGGAGTGCCGAGGTCAGCATCTACTTCAGCGTCCTCGCTGGCAGCTTCTTCCGCCTCGTCTTCGCTGTCGCTTGCTTCGTCATCAATATCGTGATGTACGAGGTTCAAAGCGACAGGGCGTTTTGGCGACGAGACCGTCCGCTCTGCTTCGTGCTTCGGAGTACTCGCCTCTTCTGTCGTAAGTTCCACTCGGCCCTGTGCTTCAGGCATCACTACGTCTTCAACTACAGGCTCCACACCATCTTGTACTGCAATCTCCACTGCATTCTTCGTCGCAAGCTCCACCTCCTCTTGTGCTTTAAGTGCCACTTCGTCTTGTGCGGTATGCTCTACTTCATCATGTGCATCAGGCTCCGCTTCGTCGTGTGCCTCAGGCTCCATTTCCTTGTGTGTTGCAAGCTCCTTCTTCTCTTGTGTTCCAAGCTCCTTCTCCTCTTGTGCTGCGGGCAGCACTTCGTCGTGCATTGCTGTATGTTCTCCTTTCTCCGACATCTCAGGCTCATGCTCAGCTTGTTCTGTAACCTTCACCTCATCCTGCACAATATGCTCCGGTTCCTCCCGTACGTGAGGCGCCTCCCCATCTTGCAGGACGCATTGCCCTCCATCCTGTACTGCGTGCTTCCCTTCATCCTGCAAATGGTCGAGCGCCCCTTCCTCCTGTACCATCGCATGGTCTCCTTCATCCTGCCCCTTCACCTCCTCCGTATCACCAGTTGCAGCGTCCAATTGACGTCCCACAGTACTACTCGACACCTCCTCACTCTTCTCTTCAGTAGCCGCTCCAGCCACTGCACCAGTCACCACCGATGGCGACTGCTCCTCGTAGCAAACGCTCTTCTCCGCTTGCTGCATAACGACTGACTTCCGCTGCGTCGCTGCGTCCCCCGCCGCTGCTGTCGCTTCTTCCTTTTCCTCTCGTGGCGTATCGCTCTTTCCGTCTATAGCTTCAGCTCCGTCGGTCGGTCCTGGAAAAGTCTGTTCGATAGGTTCGCCAACAGGTGTCGTGGGCGCCGCGTTTTCTTCTCGAGGGGTCGAAAAGGCCGTTATCGACGGCGTCCCAAACGTCGACGACGTCACCTGCACCGTCTCTTGCTCCGTCAGCTCCACCTCTTGAGCACAAGGGTTTGCGTCCAGCTCCGTGTCCAGAGGCGCTACGACGCCGACACTTTTCCCCGTCTTCGTGTCGCTCTCGTGGCTTTCTCGGCGACCCGACGGACTCGTTGCGGCAGCGGTCGTGTCGCGGTTGCTACTGCTACTGCTGCTACCGGTCGTCGTGCTGCTCGTGCTGCTGTGACACGATGCGACACGAAGCGCTGCGGCCAGTGCGCTCTCCTCTGTAGACGACACCTCCATGTCAGTCAGTCAGTCAGTCAGTCGCTCGGTCGGTCGGTCGGTCGGTTTGTCTGTCTATCTGTTTGTGACGCGATGTAACGGATTGTGTGGGGGAAGTCACTTGTGTTCAGTATGACCTGACTGTCGTCGAATTGATAAAATTAGACTTCGTTCTTGTAGGAGGCAGCAGGTCGGGCCAGTGGTAGTCAGAACGAGATCACAGATGTGCCACGCGCGAAAACTCGTCGCGTGGAAAGTGTGCGTGCGCGATGGGGTAGCTGTATACTGATGGTATACTGCTACGAGCCGTATACGACCTGCGCTTAGAGCGAGTGACATCGTCTCGGAGAAAGCGTTTGCTGCGATTATACAGCGGTATCGAAACAGGTCAAACATGCTCCATATGAGCTTTTCCCACAGCTTTGGATGTAGGTGAAGAGCGCATCTGCTAACATGAGCAGTTGCGAAGAACACAAGAAGCCGTTGCAGTTCCGTGTCGCGGTGCCCATTCCCCGCACATGATTTCTTACTTGCGACTTGATACGAAAAATCAGTGTCGTTTTCGTTTCGTCAGACAAATCAGTTACAATAAGTGTTACAATGCCATTGCGGTGGGGACGCCGCTGTCACTGAAGCGCGTAATCGACACCGTCGTATCGTGACGGGTGCCGGACCATCACCCATCACGTCTGTGCGTCTTGCTGCATCAACGCACAGAACTCAGTGTAGTCGATCATCCCGTCTTCGTTCTTGTCCGCGCCGTCAATGATCTTGCAAATTTCCCCATCGCTCATGCGCTTGTTGCCAAGTACGTGGAACACATGCTCGAGCTCGCTACTGGAGATCAATCCGTCGTGATTCGCATCAAACGTCTGTGCATAGAGAATGTTGCCGTGTACCATAAGATGATAGGACGCAAAAACTAAAGCATCCGCCGGCAACGGTGTGCAAAACGTACATCGAAAGCTGCTTTCAGATCTCCTGTCGTCAGATTCCCACTGAACGAAATTGTCGCACAGACCGTGAGTCAATAAGGTGGATCTCAACGCAAACGATGAAATGGATTGTATACCGGCGAAACAGGCGTTCGTTCATCATGCTCACGAACTCAGCGAAGGAAATCTTGCCATCCCCGTTAGTGTCCGCTTGCTGCATGATGTCGTCAATCGCCGAACTTTGTTCGCACATGCAATCGCAAGGAGCAGCATTTGGTCAGAAAAAAGTGTCGACAATCACAGCTGGTTATACACGTATGGCACGGAGCATCGAACCTGGAAAGCTGTTGGCCGAGCGCCAAGAGCGTGTGTTCGAGCTCATCTCGGTCAATGCAGCCGGACTCGTCTTTGTCGAGAAGATCAAATGTCTCCTTGAACATGTCCATATTCACAGCGGTTGTCTGGCGCGATGCAATCTCGTCCTTACTAGCACCAAGAGTGTTTCCGAACTTCGCGTGCTGGACGCTCATGATGACAGCCAATACATTGGCCCTGAGATGCTGCAGACGCTGATACGATTTCAGACGCTGGCAGTGACCGCTATCGAAAGGTTCCACCGACGTTGTGGTACACCTGAGCCATGGGTGCTGCATTGCTTGTTGAGCAGTCAGCCGCTTCGCGGGATCTGCGTCCAAAAGACACGTCAAAAAATCCTTGGCCGTCGTCGAGAGACTCCTGTACCATTTGTTTTCGACTGCACGTGACGTTACCACCGTTTGAGCACAAGCGATAAGTCTATTGGTAGCAATGACTAGCCAAACGCACCATCATATCGTCCTGTCGCAATGTCTTTGACAATTTCAGCATCCGACTTGTCGCCTCTTGGGTCAAAGGGATGTACTCCAGTAAGCGCGATGTAAGCCTGAAACGATCGTCAGAAGCTGCCAAAAGGTGTTTCAACATATTTCGAGCGACGTTGCTCGGATCCGTACCAGCACCCCGAATGCCCACATGTCGACACTGAGATCCTGAGGCTGGCGCGTGACGATCTCAGGAGCCCAGTACGCGCTAAACATGGGAGATACACTAAGCACAGCGACAACGCAAGTACATCTGCGCGATACGTGCTGTGCCACACTTACAGAGTCCCAGTTGGACATTGCTCGACAATCTGTTCTCCCCGTCTCTGACGGCGACTCGTCCCGAAGTCCTTGCATCCGCGTAAGGAACCAAACATCATGTTAGTGCCATAGTGGCAAAGTAGCAGCATCTCGAGACGACAGCGTACCGCTAGTTTTACGTTTGGTGTAGCAGATCGGTCGGTCAGTAAAACGTTCTCAGGTTTCAGGTCCCGGTGACTACGGCGGCAACATCGAAAGTGAGCACGAGGAACAACCGAGCGTGACATTCCATCGCGAAAACTGACCAAACACCGCGGTTGTGCACGTAATCGAGCGCCCGACAGACACCGCAAAGCAGGTGCGCAGCGTCCTTTTCCGATACAGATCCCTATGGTCGCAACAGCAAGTGACAATGTCACATACGTTCCGAAGTACCGTTCCATCACAGTTGTCCTCGACCATATCGACGATGTAGTCAAACAGTTCGCCCCCTGCCACGAACTCTGTCAACATGATCGTCTCGTCGTCCAGGTCCAGCACGTCGTACAGCGACACGATGTTTTCGTGGGTACCCAGGAGCTTCATCACGTCAATCTAATCCCCGCCCACCGCAAAAGAGTCGACACCATGTTAGGACCACCTCACTGCGCACGAACGCAAAGAGTACACAAGTACATGGAATCCGACAGACCTCTGCTTGAATCGACTCCTTCGAAGAGCTCTGTGGGTCAAAGATCTTTGCCGCCAGCAGCTAACACGCGCACGTGTGAGCTACAGCTCGCACTCTCACGATCCGCCTACGTCCGCGCTCTACCTTTTGCGTGTCCATGTCCATTGCCAGACGTACGACAGCAAACCCTACAAGAGCAAACCACACACGACCAGTCGACTGTCAGTCCTCTTCTTCACGTCCGGCTCCCATTCTGCCTTCCAGCTCCCCACGTCCGGCCTCTCTTCGTTTCTACCTCCTCGCCCGAGCTCCTTCATCAACACATAGCGCCCCTTTTGCTCCATGGTAGCGCTTGTCCCCCAAGCGTCGCGACCTTTTGATCCCCACTCGACGTCACTGCGGGACGGATCGTGGGACATGAACGTCGCAACGCCAAGAGCTACGGTCGCAGTCGCCACACGCCCTCGATCGCCCGGTCTCTTGCCACTTGCCGTGTGCACTGGCTTCAAGTGGCCACCACTGGCGCCGCCACCAGATGGTTGTGGCCTTCGAAAGCGACGGGCGGACGCTCGCGACATGCGCGGAATCCGACGCATTGCACCACCACGCGCGTGCTGGTTCGCTGGTTCGATTAAGTACGACGCAAGGCCACACCCGAAGGAGGTGCATCTATCTGACTGCAGCAGCACCAAACAACCCGCGAGAACGACCGGACAACAAAACGGTTTTGGGACTAGCGAAGTGTATATGGGTTCACCTCTTCTTCGAAGAGATCCGACGCGAGCTTCGACAGGGCGCGCATGGCTCGAAAGTCTTGGAGCGACATCGTCTCGCGGACACGCGCGTCCACTGTGCACAGACAAGCGACGACGTCGCCGTCCGGCGCTTTGATGGGGAACCCGGCAAAGAAGCGGACGCCGAGATCCCGCACAAGTCGCAGGTTGCGCAGGGCCGCGTCGCGCACGGGATCGGTGATCATGAAGGGTTTGCCATTGGCCATCAGGGACAAGGGGCACACGATCGCATCGTCGATATACTGTGGACGTGGAGCGCTGGACGCCCCGACGATGCGCTGCGCTTGGGCCCCGTGGGTTTGGTGGACGGCAACAATGAACGCAGTAGCGCACCGCATCCGCACAGCTGCAATGTCGCAGATCGAGTCGAGCGCTGCCGAGTCGACTTCGTCGTCCAGATCCAATTCGCAGATGCTTTGTTTCATCGCCGCGTGTGGTGGTGGTGGTGTCTGTGCTCGTGGCGTGACAGGCGGTCTCGCGTCGCATTTCGTGGACGGCGTGCAGCACTGTCCGCTCGTCAAACGGCGTCGTGGACGGTGGTGGTCCTCAGCGGCAATAGCAACAGTGCCCGACCCATCTCGCTCGATGCTCGTGCTGCGTTCTTCGGTAGCAGTCGGATCGCCACAGCGAGCGATGCTGGACAGACGCAAACGCGCTTCGAGGTACTTGTCCACGACGTTTCGGTCTGGATACCGCGGATGCTTCACCGGCATTGACGACGTCTCTGATGACGGCGACGATGACGACGCAGACGTTGAGCTCGCTGGCGCCGGGCCCGCCGTCACGTGCTTCACCACTTGACGAACGACTTGAAGCGCTCGCGCTCGGATCAATGGGTTACTGGAAAACAAAGCGTCGGCCAATTGTCGTCCAGGGGTCGACGAGCACGATGCCGAGGTGGTCATTGCACTATGGCCGTGAGCTTGTCGGTGCGTCGACGTGCGATGGCATGCAGCTTGAGGTGATGCGGTTGCATCTGCCGTGTGTTGAGCGGAGGAGCGGCTGTGGCGCCTGACGTCGTCACGTTTCAGTATGCGGTCGCAGACGGTAGGAGATCGTTTCGTGCGCGCGGCATTGTCGACCTCGTCTTGTCGGTGTTCTCGGCTTCTTCGAGCTGCAGGTGCTACGAGAGCAGAATAGGTGGAAAACGAGGCGTGCAAGAGCGGATTCTCCGGCTGGAACACACTGGCGTCCACGTTGGCTGCACACGGGTAACATATCCGAGTGCGACGCACTCTTCGCGCCATTGGCTCGACGTCAAACTTGTGCGAGCACTCGCGACAGACGCACTGGGCACAGAGCTGACAAAAGCGCTGAGGACGGAGCAGGCCAAACGCTTTCCGACAGACCTTGCAATTGTCGTCACCGTCTGCGCCATGCTTTGTCGGTGTGTGCAGGAACGACTGGTTCCCGAACCGCCGCCGCCGCACGAGCTGTTCGAACGATGTTGTCGCGTTTGCCAGCAGCTTGACCACGTACTTTGCTTCAGCATTCGCTATTGGGGGCGAGTACTGTCGATGACTCGAGCCCGAGTGCGACGCTTGGCAGCTCCTTGGCCAGAGTTTCGAGCGGGCGCGCAGCCCGTCCGTCGCTGCCAATCCGCCTGGTGAATGGCAGACGTAAGCCGTCATGACGATCCGCGTCTGGTGGCCACTGAGGTCGCTGTACAAGCTCGTGAGGTGGTACCCGGCAGCAATGTGGTCGGTATCGCCTCGCAGGGCCTGTTCGGCCGACTGCTGCTGGTCGCGATCCCAGTGCGTGACTTGCGCCTGTGTCGACTTGGGCAACGTCTTCATGGTGTAAAACGCTTCGTTCGTGTCGGGACAGTGCTGCGCGTACGCTGCAAAGCACAGTCGTTGGCGTCGACTCGTCCGTTTCGCGGCTGTCACGGGGTTGAGGGACCGACGGGGGCGCAGCACCACCGACTGCAGGGCCACCCATCCTGGCTGCACGTGGTCGGCCAGCCCGGCGTCGTCTTCCCAGTTCGAAGACGGTGCGCGCCCGTGGAACTCGCGGGCGACCAATCGGTCCCCGCTCCGGTACTTCCTCGCGCCAAAGAGCGCCGCCATACTGGCGTCAAACTGATGGGCTTCGCGGCCAAACAACATGTCCATAGCTTCTTCCAAGCGGCAGTTGAGCGTCACTTGAGCCGACGCAGCGTACGCGACAGTGGGGTCGCTTCGTGGCCATCGGATCATTGTCGACGATGTCGGTCCAACGTCGTCGACATTGGTGTGGCGGGTGGGGAGGGACCCCCGAGGCTCAATCATTGAGTGCCGAGTGTCCCTCTTACTACTACTCCTACTACCGGTAGCAGCAGCAGCAGCAGTAGTAGTAGTAGTAGTAGTGGCGCGGGGGGTCCTACTGCGGTGCCAGAAGGCGCTGTCGACGATCCGCATGGACGGAAGTGTGGCGCGGTCGAACTCAGTGATCTCACCGCTCTGGTACAGCTGCTGCTGCTTGTGCTGCTGCTTCCGGACGACCCAACACGGCGGTGGCGGCGGCGGCTGCTGCTGTCGATCGAGCACCGGTCGCTGCCACATGCTACTGCTATGGCCTCGATCGTTGCGGTGTTTCACGACCGCTTGGAGGTGCGGGACGACGCTCGTCGCTGTGGTAAACAGGTCGTGATCTGTGACCAGTGCGTGGACGAACGACCGCGACAAGAGCGCGTGGCGGGCGGACGCAGGCGACGTGACGCTGCTCTGGTAGTCGCTGCTGCGGACGCTGCCGTGGCAACTGCTGCCCGCGTAGTAGCTGTCGTTCATGTGCAACAGCGCCGTGCGATCCAAAAGGGGGCACGAGGGCACGAGACGGGTTGGCGACGGTAATGGAAATTCAAAAGTGAGGACGACGACGAGGACGACGACGAGTGGGGCGATTGAGCCAATTGGAAACGTACCCCAAGAGCTCTGCAAACGCCTCGCGGGCAATGAATGAATGGTACCCATTATCAAAGCATCGACTTGCGCTCGGTCAAGTGATTGGGAGGGATCCGGATGCCTGGGGCTTCCGCTGGCTCGACGAGTGGCCTGATCAAGAGCGCACGTGGCTGACTGACCAACTGCCGGCCGTCGCGGACTGACCAGCGACGGCTTTGGCCAAGAGTGGCAAGTCGCACTCGATTCGAGCGACTTGCGCGGACGCACTGTGGTGATGGCGTTCATTGAAGTTGAACCGCGAGGGGACATTAAGTGTCTGCCTCGTTCTCACGACTCGATTAAGCTCTACGGAAACGACGGAATGCATGGGCGGACGGCCACTTGGAAGCTCGAGAGCTCCGGCTCCGTGGACAGCCAGATCGGCGATGTGTGCGCCGTGCGCGTCATTTGCAGTACTCGAAACAACATCACGAGGCTTGGAACCCCCGCCTCCCCACTGTGTCTGACAGCTTTCCGCTTACCTTTTCAGCAGCTACAGGCGCACGCACGTCCCGGATCTCGTGTGCCACTCATTGAGTGTTGAGTTCATCGTAGCGTCGTCTCTGTCCGCGCATCCCCGTCGGTGCAACTACTCGGAGAATATCGAACGTCTAGAGGCCAGTCAATGTGCTCAGCTTGCCGCCGATACTGAACCGGCTACGCTGCTGGCCCGTCTCCCACTAGTGGCGGCAATTGCACATGCATTCGTCTAGCTACCAATCCCTTCGAAGAAGCCCAGCGAATAGCAAACTGATGCATCGCGCGGATGCGGACGAATAGTCGGATCGGTGTACACAGACCCACCGAAAAAAGCACCTCGTGTTAAGAAATAACGTACACAACAGACTCGTTCAAAGCATGCGGTTCGTGATCTACGTTGTCTCGTCTACAGCTCGTCGTGTTCGTCATCCTCGTCATCCTCAGCAGTCTCGTACGTGTCGTCCTGGCCAGCGCCACTCTCGTACACCTTCGACATGATCGGGTTCACCAGCTTCTCCACCTCCTTCTGCTTCGCCTCAAAGTCCTCCTTGTCCGCCTCCTGGTTGTCCTCCAACCAGTCCATCGCGTCCTGCACGGCAGTCAGGACCGTGTCCTTGTCGTCCTCCTCAATCTTGTCGTCGAGCTTGCCCTCCACATTGTTCTTCAGGTTGTACAAGTAGCCTTCCAGCGAGTTGCGCCCGTCAATGCGATCCTTGACACGCTTGTCCTCGTCCGCAAACTCGGACGCCTCCTGGACCATGCGGTCAATCTCTTCCTGCGACAAACGACCCTTCTCGGCCGTGATCGTAATCGTCTCGGCCTTGCCCGTGCCCTTGTCCTCGGCGGACACTTGCAGGATACCATTGGCGTCAATCTCGAACGTCACCTCAATCTGAGGCACGCCGCGGGGAGCGGGCGGCAAACCAGTCAGCTCGAACTTGCCCAGCAAACGGTTGTCCTTCGTCATCGCACGCTCGCCCTCGAACACCTGGATCAACACAGCAGGCTGGTTGTCCTGGTACGTCGAGAACGTCTGCGACTTCTTGGTCGGGATCACCGTGTTGCGGTTGATGAGCTTCGTCATGACGCCGCCCACGGTCTCAATGCCCTGAGATAGAGGCACGACGTCAATCAGCAGCACGTCCTTCGTCAAATCGTCCTGCTCGCCGCCCAGAATACCGCCCTGCACAGCTGCGCCGTACGCCACAGCCTCATCCGGGTTCACACCACGCGACGGCTCCTTGCCGTTAAAGTAGTCCTTGATCAGCTGCTGGACCTTGGGGATGCGCGTCGAACCGCCTACGAGCACGATCTCATCCACCTCCGACTTCTTCAGTCCCGCGTCTTTCATCACCTTCTCCACCGGTCCCAACGTCTTCTTGAACAAATCGTCATTCAGCTTCTCAAATCGCGCACGACTCAACGACTCGGTAAAGTCCTCGCCCTCCAGCAACGATTCAATCTCCAGACGCGCTTGCGCTTGCGCCGACAAGGCGCGCTTCACACGCTCTGCTTCACGTCGCAGCTTCTGCAGCGCACGCTTGTCCGAGGCCACGTCAATGTTCTTGTCCTTCTTCCACTTCTTGATAAAGTACTGCATGATGCGCTGGTCAAAGTCCTCGCCGCCCAAGTGCGTGTCGCCGTTGGTCGCCAGCACTTCAAACACACCGCCGTCGATCGCCAGCAGTGTCACGTCAAACGTACCGCCTCCCAAGTCAAACACCAGCACGTTCTTCTCGCCCTGCGCCTTCTTGTCAATGCCGTACGCAATAGCAGCCGCCGTCGGCTCGTTAATGATCCGCTGGACCGTCAAACCCGCAATCGTGCCGGCGTCCTTCGTCGCTTGACGCTGGGCGTCGTTGAAGTACGCCGGCACTGTCACCACAGCGTCAAACACCTCGCGGCCAATGTACCCTTCGGAAATGTGCTTCATCTTGGTCAAAACCATGGCCGACACTTCTTCCGGGGCAAACTGGCGCTTCTCGCCCTTGACTTCCACCTGGATAAACGGCTTCCCGTCCTTGTTCACGAGCTCATAGGGCAGCAGCTTCTTGTCCGACTGCACCGACTTGTCCGTGTACTTTCGGCCAATCAGCCGCTTGACATCGAACAACGTCTTCTCCGGGTTGATCGTCGCCTGGTTCTTGGCGCCGTCGCCAATCAGCCGCTCGTCGTTCGAGTCCCACGCCACGTACGACGGCGTAATGCGGTTGCCCTGGTCGTTCGCAATGATCTCCACCTTCTGGTCCTTGTAAATGCCCACGCACGAGTACGTCGTGCCCAGGTCAATGCCGATCACGGGCCCGCGCGGCCCTTTCGCCTCTTCGCCCGACACCGCCGCGTTCGCGAGCGCCGCCGCGGCGAGGAAACAAATCGTGCGCAGGTTCATCGAAGATTTGGCCAATCGGGGCGAAGTACGTTAGGTGCGTCTCTCGGGCAGCGAATTGGATAATGAGGGGAACGGGGGGAAGAGCGATGTCTCGAATACAACACAGCATACAAAGCGCAAGTGAAACGACTGCTGACGTGGCGCCTGCACGGGCCGGTCGATTCGAGAAGCGAGCGGACGTGGCGGCTTCTAGAAAGTGAAGACCACGTCTGGAGTATGCTCGACTTTGTATGGGCCATACAACATCCAAGACCACGAGTGCCACGCGGCCGCACCGTCCGACTAAGTACGAAGATTCACCTCCTTTTGTGGCAGCATCAACGTCGGTCGCACATGCACACCACACACCTCTTGTCGGTCGTATCGGAGCGCTCGGCGCACTTAAGCGGACACCACGTTGCGCAAGTAGGACGCGCGCGCGCACTGTTGTCATGTCGACGCGGGCTTCGTGCGATCGCACTTAGCCGAACGCAAGTAGCCATTTCACCGACCACCTGCCGACCAATATGTGCCCGTGATTTGCAACGGCGACGAGTCGGACGTCCGCGCGACGTGGGGCCAACGCCACTGAATCGGTAGAGAGCGTCACAGGACATTCGTTTTCGAAGCGCTTGTCACGCGATTGTGTCGGAGTGAGCGTCAACGTTCTGGTTGCGTTCGCGTCCGCATCGCATCGCACACACACACACACATAGGCACACACGCGTTGCAGCAATGAGCGCGAGTGTCGTTAGATGACGATGAGCGCTGTGCTTTGCATGAAGCAGTCGGCGCAGTCCAATGGAAACGGTAGCAGATCAGTTGACTGAGTAGCAGCAGACAGCAACTCGAGGGCGACGTCGTGCGTGTTGAACGCACCACACAACGACACTTTGTCTCTCCTCTGTGTTTCTTGATCCGCTGCTGGGCACACCGCCTCATAGCGAAGGCGTTCGACACACATGAGTAATCCATGGGCTCTTTACGGCCACTGACGGTCTGTGCAACCGAACGCGTCGTCGCTCTTCAGACGCGGACATTCGTTCTCTGCTGCTTTACCGCACAGTTGCCACGCGAGGCCTGAAACCAAAGGAGAACCGCTTGCCACGACGGTCACATCGTCTTAGCTGTCCCTCAAGCATTGCCCGAAAGGAGCAATGCGTGTGCCAGTTGCATGGTCCGCCCGCGTCCATCCGATCGCGTGAATGGATACGATGCTCGTGAGACCCTTCAGGCCGACACGTGTTCTGCACCAGTCGGTCTCACTGTCCGACGTCACTCGCTCGTTTGCTATCAAGACAGCTTCTCTGTCCAATGGAAGTGATTGTGCTGGGCTGTGGACCGTCGTCCTCGGTGCCTTCCATGCGCTGCGTTCTGCGTCAGGATTGTGCCGTGTGCCTCGAAGCCCACGCGAATCCGCACTCGAAGAACCGTCGCTTGAACCCCAGTCTGCTCGTGCGCAACCTGGCAACGCACACCAACGTCCTCGTTGACTGTGGCAAGACCTTCCGTGAGGCTGCACTCAGGTTCTTCCCTCCACTCGGTGTCACGACTGTTCACGCACTAGTGCTAACACACGACCACGCGGATGCATTGCTCGGAATGGACGACCTCCGAGAGGTTCAAGCGCATAACGAGACGGTCGACCCTGTGACCAAGGAGCGATACAAGATCTCGCCCGAGGCTATGAAGGTGCACTGCAGTGAGCGCACGAGCTGCGATGTGATTGCAAAGTTCCCATACTTGATTGACCACGAGCCCTCATCGCAGCTCTTGGTTGACGACGAGGGCGTGCCGAAACCCTTTCGATGGACGGCCAAGCTCGAAGTTGACATCTTTCATCCATGGAAACCATTCGAGGCGAGTGGCATACGGTTCCTGCCGTTCCCGGTGATTCATGGAGCTGGCTACACATCGTTCGGATTCGAGTTTGGATCGGAGCTCGGGGCTCGGTTTGTCTACATTTCAGACGTGAGCGAGATACCCGAGGAGACGAAAGCTTTCCTCAATGATGCCACGAAGCCTCGGATCGACATTTTGCTGATCGACGCACTCAATCTGGAGACATACCACAGCACCCACATGACCTTGCAGAACGTGGTGGAAGAAATCGCTACGATAAAACCAAAGCGTACGTTGCTTACAGGCATGGGCCATGACTTTGACTATCCGAAGCATAGTGTCGAGTTGCTCGAAATGGGTGAGGCAAAAGGCTTGAACATCGAAATGACCTACGACGGATTGCATGTCACCCTTCCCTGATCAAGCTGCCTGAGAAAGAGTATGCAAAGCGGAACGCGATGGTCGAACAATATCTTTTGTGCATACTGTACGTGCCTCTCCTGTTTGATTGCGTTGATCGGAACTACACTCTGTAGTCTCGTCCAGAAAAGCCCTGGAGGACGATGTGCAATGCGAAGAATCGGTGACGACCAAGTGTTAGTTTAGTTGACTTGCCGTGTTTCCGAGTCAACTTTGACAGACTTTTGCAGGTCGAACTTTGGCTGCTCAGACTCAGCAGAGTGGTGGACGTGACATGCACTGCCTTTCACGCTGTCTGTGCACACATCCACTTGACAGGAAGAAGCTATGTCATTCCTTGTTAGTTAAAGCCTTCGTCCCATTTTTCTGCTCCAGCCCTCAGGCTTACCTCAGTGCATACGTCAAGCTCCGCTGCATGTATGTTTTCAGATTGCCATGTTCACGCAGATATTCACTCTTGACCAGGCAGCGACTTGTCTAGGTGCGAGACTCGCAAAGACGTGTAGCCTTGTGTAAAGGCCGGGGATTCGACGACGAGCAAGCGCATTATCGTACGAAAGTGACGAACGATTCATTGCTGTGAAGACGCATGTCGTGATATTTGAGCCAAGTCTCTGCGTCTGATCAACACGGAACGTGATGGTCCAGGAACTCAAGTAACGAGCAAAGCCGCCGATTCCAAACATATGTATGCAGTACATGCAGCAAAAGTCCAACGGCGCTTAAACATCAGCTTGGAAGATTGCATCGTTCTCACGTGACATGACTCTAGTTCTATGCTTCGGCTTGAGCAGCAGCTTGATTGATCGTATTGTTGTCGGGGGCATCGGCACTTTGACTCTCGGGTTCCATACACCCAGCGCTCTCGTCCGCTGTAGTCTTTGCTGACCGCCTGTCGTGCGGAACAGAAACGAGCAAACCAGCTTCGTGCATGATCACACCAAGATCTTCGATCTCCTTGCTCAAGACCCGAATCGCACTAAGTGCAGCGACTGATGACACGGGGAACAGGCGATGAAAGCACCTGATCAAATATGGCACGAGCTCCGAACGAATGACCTAAATCGTGCATACCAAAGGTCAGCAACAACTCGCCTCCATCAAATATAAGAAGCGTGTCAGGAATGTCCAATCTGGCGCACCTCAACCATCGCGCATACAGATTCCGTAAGCGCCGCTTTCCGTGCATGTCTTGAAGCCGTGTCACTTTCATCATCGTAGCTCTCGGTCCCTGGGGCATGCAGATCAAGCTTGTTCTCCTTCGCAAACTCAGCGACTGTAAACAATATGGTGCGGATCACACTTTGATACTTTTTACCCAAACGATTCTGCAGCGACAAAATCGTGCACAGCCTCAATTCGTTTAGCGAAGACAGCAGCGCGTTGGTAAATTCGGCCAGCAAAGGAAAAGACATGAGACACCGTGGAGGTGAATAGTCGTCACGATCTAGAGACGTCGGCGCGAGACGAGAAGCGTCAGGGAAATTGCTGGCACTTCCATTGGCAGACGAACGGTAAGATGCGACCACGATGGGTGTCGCTGGGCACGTCGGCATCGAAGAGTCAATTGATGCTGACAACGAGTGCGCGATCAGACTGTCCCGAAAATCGCGGCATGCCGACCGCCACGATTCTGTCATCAACGTCAGCACGTGGTCTTCGAAATACACAACAAGCACTGCGCGGAAGTCCACACCAACACGACCAAGTGACCCCCCGAAAAACAGACTCTGTTCAAGAATCGTAGCGACCGAGCTCAGGTCTTCAACCTTTGGCAACTGCCTACTTACAGCAAAATAAATACACGTTAGTACCGTAGCACTGCAGCATCTTATACGTCGACCAGCTAGGCGTAACTACAGTATGCGTACTTCATGAGAGTGTGAATGAACTCTGCCACCGTCGTCGTTGCCCAGCGACAGAGCGGCGGGTCCACTTTGCCGTCTACGTTCTATACAAAAGAGTCGAAACCGATACATGCGCAAGTTATCAAGCATCATGATTTTGCAATATCCGGTCTTTTCGGAAGACGTACCTCGCTACCGAAGATCGCTGAGTACTGCGTGATCGTGTCAAACCAGCTCGTTCGCTTGATATCGATAACTTGGATAATCTACCATTTGTGTAGCAAGGACCTTCAGTACCGGACAGGCTGCATCCAAATCATGATAAAAGAGCAGCAGTCGTACATATTGATACGGGTCCGAGGACGAGATGCCGCGGCTTAACGATTTTAGCCACACATTCCGGCAAGCAAGGAACTCTTCTTTCAGCTGTTTTTCATACTCCAACGACTCGACAGCAGCTGTCCCTTCTCTTCGAAGAAGAAGAAGACTATCCAGACGCCGGATATGGCCCACAATACGAACGCATAGCGCTAGTTGCAGGTCTTCGCGCAACTTTTGTAGCAGTCTTTTGCGCAACGCTTTGGTCATCTCCACCACCTCTCGCATGAGACATTTCGTCACCACGTTATGTGACGCGCTCGCGTCGTCGTCGAACATCTCACGTGCAAGTTGCACGACATCCAGTGCCGAGTCAAACAACTCGTTTAGAATACACGCTTCCAGTAACTGTGGGATCTCCAGCAACTCTGTTAACTAGCAGGAACAAGCAGCACCATCGTTGCAATAATCGTCTGTCAGTGTACCGCATAAATATCTCGGGCTCCAAATTTCCATTTACCTGCAGATAATGCTCAAGGACGTATTGAGTATCGTCGTGCTTTGCCACGACGTCCACCAAATCCTTTTCAAGCTCACCAAAACGTTCCTGTAGCTCTGGAATGGCAGTTTCAATCTTGACCATTCGCTCGTTGAGCTCTGCAAGCTGTGCGTCGCCAATTTATTAATCAAGTATTGTATTGCAATCAAGTCGCAATCCTTATCTTTTATGCACAAGGTTTCAAACATTATTTTTGTACGCACATCGTCGTTGACGACGCCAGCACACTGGTTGCTCTGGATGAAAACGTGGTAATGTTGTAACACGAGGTTGCGCAGCTGCTGCGTCGTGCTTTCTGCCTGATTCTGCAATCTACATGGCTCTCTCTTAAGCTCTTCGAGCGAGCAGGTCTTGAGCGACGCCATGATGGTATACTTTTTGTAATCTAATATCGAGTTTGACGAGCACCTCGCCGTGCGATAATATTCGTAAAAACCGGTTCCATTGGCGGTTTTCAATGATAAGTGAAGTTGATTCAAATCGACCAGTGTACCTATATTTAGATGCCTATCGCTCCGAATCCCAACAGCTGATACATTTTACATTACGGTATGAACTTGCTCTCGTACGACCGCGCAAATGATGACATGTACCAGCATTTTCCAGCTTGGTCGTAAATGTACGCTTTTGACGCTTAGGGCATGCCGATTTTCTCATACGCTCACAGCAACCTAGTAAGTTGTGTCACAGAACCGTGATTGCCCAAACAAGCCGTTACAATAATGATGAAGCATGCAGAGTCGTAAGCACAGCTAGCCAAGCAACGTTGCTATCTTGTTCCGACTGATGGAGATGATGGAGCTAGAATCATGCCGGATGAAGCTCAAGCATTACCTGTCCGAAACTGAGGCAGCTTTCCCTTTGCTATATCGCGAGTCCGTGCAACACATATTCATGCGATGCTTCTGAAGATGTGTTGTGCAGACGATGCATACATGGACTTGCGATAGTAAAAAGCCAAAGTTTGAGAATGGCAAATGGTCAGTGTACAACCTTGTGTTGGCGGCATAGGTCAGGGTCAATCTCGACGTGTCTCCGGCCGTTACCTACAGACCACTTGCCACTTACTCCTTTCCGACAATACGTGCGTATGGTGTTACAACGCTTTGCTACATTGTCTTTTCGACCGGTGGTCCCCCACGACACAACTTTACGTTTGCAATAGATGTCAAAAACGTAGATGCAATGTATTAATCTCTGTTATATGCAAGTGACTGACTGATGAGAGAAACTTGTATGAGAGCCCGGCACGTCTGTGTAGTGATTGGCAGCGAGAAACGCGGATAGCAAGTCAAAAGTCAACCTCTGCATCAGTGCTCTTGTCTTGACTGCTTACGCAAGACTGCGATCTCATTTTTCAACGTCTTCAGCATCTGAGCCTTAAGATCTTCCAGCTCCAATGGCTGAAGGCGTTTTGAAAATGGTTCAGATGATACGGACGAGCTCAGCTTTTCTGCTTTCTCCTTCACGGATGCAGCTTGCTCCTTCCCAAACATCATCGTTAGAAGCGAGGAGATTTCTTGATGCTCCGAAGGAAGTACATCCATGACCGTCGAGATGTATCTGATGAAGAAGTCCAGGTTGTAGTGTCCTAAGATAGACTGTCCCTGTGTTGGGATTGCCAGATCCAGAGCAATTTCATCGAACTGCGTCCTGCGTAGCATCAAGTATATATATAGCAACTGTTCCAGGAGCTCTGCATCTTCGGCATGGATGCCATTGAGCTTCAAAATCGACAAAAAAGATGCGAGTTTGGCCAAATCACCGAAGCCGTGGTACAATGTCTGAAACATCCTGACGGGTGGTGTATCTGGTCTTGCCGCGTTGTATTTCTCGATGTAAATCCCCAGCTTCTCGTAAACCATGGCTGCAGTAGGAATTCTACCGTCCTCATATCCGGGAATCATCTTCTTGAAGAGCTCGAGAGGATGCACGTCAACTGGAGACGTTTTAGCTTCCGTCGACGCCGTTGCTTTCGGACGTGCACGACCTGACGCTCGGGTCGCTTTAAGCGAATCGCCTCGCTTGAATGCTCTTCCCTTCGGCGCCAAAGTAGCTACACGTTGCCTAGTGGGGTTTTCTCGAGGGACCTTACGCCGGAAATTGATAAATTTCTTGACTGAATTTCGAATGTGCACCCGCATCGGAATGAACTGCGAGGCCAAGGCCTCAACTGGAGCACTTGCTTGCCATCCGTTGATCAGCTCGTGTGATGCCGTTTCGATCGCTTCAACGCCATTCATCGCAAGTGCCAGCCTTTCTTCGCCAGTCTTGGGGTCGTGTACCTCCAGCGGCTTCTTGATAGCGACGCCATCGTGGACACCGTGAGCGGAACGAATGGCGGCCTCAAGCTCAGCCTTCGTCATCGTACGGCTGGATGGCTCCAACGCGTTCGTTCCGTCTGTCAAAGTCGCAGCGCAAGCTACAAGTACGAAGTAGTAGATGCGCATCGTCGCGTCCACTCGTCTAGGCGCGATAGAGCAAATCGCGAAGTGAACGATCGGATCAGCTCGCACACTGTAACGGGGTGAGCCCGTTACATTATAACTGATACGAATAAATCGAAGGTTAAATATCATTCATTTAGAAAATATTCAATTACCATTACCCGAGAAGAGGTAATGTTGGCGTAATATTATTCTCGAGGGTAATATTTGTGGTTGCTCCACTTCTTGATTGATGTACACGCTGCATCAACCAAATTAATCACTAATCGCTGCTAGACGCGCGCAATGAGTGGTGAGCAAGAAGCCCACATATGAGATTGTAGTTTAATATAGTTAGATGAAGACAAAGATAAATTATAAGGAACCTTAAATATAGGGTAATGATATTTTCACCCCCATTTTTACTATTTTACCCCCTTGGAACCAATACAGGGTGTATTTCACAACTTATACGGAATCAATCATGGCAACTATATCAATTGGTACTACGCACTACCATTCACTTTATAACTTTATAACTACCACGAGGATCTGCTTGATATTTGATGGAGTCTGATGAGTTCGAAGTCAAGTATTCTCCAGTAGAGAATGTGTTCACGGCTCTCCTATTGAAAGCACGCAAGCTTATATTTTCTCTTTCTATCTTCAATTCCGACTATAAAAAGGGGAAATGATTGTTGTGTGCGACCGAGCGGGAATCATACAAGTCTACTGCTGTCGCGCGAAAGACCAAGACAAAACGTACAGGATGCGAAAACCGACTCATAGCGCGATAGATCGGCGCTGACAGGATGTGGCAGGTGACTCGACATGAAGGAGCGCACAACCATGACATGTCCACACACCTCGACATGCATTCTCGCGCTAGGCAGCTAACAATTAAGCAACAAATCAAGCGCATTCGACCAGAAAGAGCAGGTGTGCGGCCAAAAGAGCAACTTACGTTCCTCATACATGTAGCGGAGCTACACAGCTCCTTAAGTCAGAGGAAGACTTTACGCTCAATGAGCAACTTTGGTTCTACGAACCCGACTCAGAGAGTCAACAGCTCAAAGAGATTAAAGGGTGGTTCAGAGAACCCGACTCAGAGAGTCAACAGCTCAGAGAGCTTACGGTCCCCGTTCCAGAGGGACCAAACGATTCAAATGAATCACAGCACAGAGTGCTCGAGGACAAGCTACCTTTACAGGCGTTGCTTCTGTCCTCCCGATCAAAGACGCCTCGTAAGGCACGTGTCCTATGTTGATCGAAATGGGAACTGAATTTTATTTCTTCTTTTAACCTAAAAGAACACCTTAGAACAACGTATTTAACCTGCCCTAAATAACCTCTTAAAAGATCTTGCAATCAATTGATGACAGACACCAGTCTTCAACAATTGATACGCTCACTGTGTTCTAATATTACCTTATAGGGTACCCCCTCTCGTGTGTGCCCCACACCTATCGTCGGCTACCAGCCGACGTGTAACCCCGTTACAATACAGGAGTATCCGGACTTCTACAGCGTAAGTAGGGACACATACAATGACAAACAGAAGGGCGCAGAGAGTACTTGAATGGACGTATGCCGATTCAAGCGCAATTCGACGAGCTGCATGCATAAAGCTACTGCTATGATCTTAGTCTTGACGCAAAGGGTCAAATGTGCCGCTTAATGTTCGCAAATCCTCATTTCATCGCTCTTTCTGCAGAGTTCTGTGACGTCATCGTACTCGACTGCACGTACGAGACAAACAATTTCAAGATGCCAATGCTCGATTGTGTCGGTGTCTTCCCGTTTGGCAAGCCATTCATCATTTGCACAGCATTTATGCCGAAGGAGGACAAGAAGAACTACGAATGGGCTGTAACCGCTCTTAAGAAAGTGCTTAAGACTCGAAGAAATGACGAAATTCCGTGAATTTTGGGCAGCGACAACGATTCGGCTATTTTAAACGCTGAGCAGCAAGTATTTCTGAATGCGGCAAGGTTTCTGTGCCGCTGGCACATAAATAAAAATGTTGTTACCAGGTGCAAAGTTCACTTTACAAATGGCGATGAATGAGAAGAGATGATCGCGGACTGGAGCTCTCTATGCTATGCATCAAGTGTCGAAGTGCTCGAAGCACAATGGGAAGAATTTCAGACCAAGTACCGACATCTCCCTCTCGTCACACGCTGCCCGGATAGAACGTGGGTCAAGCACAAAAATAATTTTGTTGAAGCGTGGGTGGGAGACGTCTTCCACATTGGCTGTTCCACTACATCAAGAGCTGAGTCAGTGCATTCGTACCTGAAGCAATTTTTGCGATCGTCGGTTGGTGATCTTCTCACAATGTCAAAGTCTCCACTTGACGATCGAGCACCAAGTGATGGAGCTGAACAAGATGCACGCTGATGATCTCATGAAGCGACCAACATTCGCAGTAGCGCCCATATACCTCCAGGTTGTGTATAAGGTTTCATCCTATACGCTCACCCTCGTCCACGAACACCATGCATCCACCTATCAATGCAATACAAGTTCCGATTGACAAAGGGTCTACTGTGCAAGCACTCTGCTCAAAAAGGGATCAACGCTGATGCACCCTTCACACTAAAAGATTTCGACTCGCATTGTTGGTTGAAAAAGTTTATCCTGATTCTGCTGCAGTAGGTGTGAAAAGCAACGTTCGAATTGATGACTTGGTACCACATCTTTTTTAAGATTTCGACTTAGCACCAACCCATAAGAAAATTGCTATTCGAGCTTACATCGCTGATGCAATATTTACGGGTTCAAGCGTGTCGGTGAGAGATCCAGTCAAAACAAAACCCAAAAGGAAGACCATTTGAAGCAACAAACCGACAAAAGAAGCTGCGAGACCCATCTGCGTTTGAGTAAATCGAGGGATCTGCTATCTTGACTCGGAAGTGTGGTATCTGCAGACAATATGGGCACAACAACCGCTCATGCAACAATTTTTCAAGGGTGTACGAGATACTCAGTAACGTACAGCGATCGTCGAATTGGTTAAAAATGGGGATCAGTAAAACAAGCATCACTCATTGGTCATGGCGGACGGAGCATTGTGGTCTATATATCGTCAACTTCATAGTTACAAACACACCAAGAAAACTAGAAAACAACAAAGCGAAACGGAAGCGCACCTGCGAATCGTACGGTACGAGAAACCATCATGTTCGCAGTCTGCTTTGTTCCAGATAATTGTAGAGCTGATGTAGGGTCATTATTGCAGTAAACGACACGTTTTTGCTATTCTTGTTATTCTTCGTCTTGATTCCTTTATTTGAGTAAGCAGTTAAATTATGTACTGGGATGTGATCCAATTAGTACGCAACTACGGCACTGTGAAACGTTCGTATGACGCAATTAATATTTCAGCAAAGTCGTGTAGCGCCGCTTGAGATAACGCTCGTGCGCAACTGTAGTTTGCGGGATTCTACATCTCTAGCATCAACCTTCCGGACATCCTAGGCGTGTTCGTCATCCGCTTGACCATATGGGAGAACAACTTTCATTGTTGTCCGCTCTAACCGAGAGTATAATCCATCTTTAGACAAAACGTACATTGTATAACACTTAGATGCTCGCTTGTCTTCTGCAGCACAAAACATATAGTGAATTACCGTTTAGGCTCCTCAAATAATCTCACCTACATGTTGCAGTACTGAAAACATGTAAATATATCTACTAGCTTTAGATGTCCGTATCTAGAAGCTCACACAACTGCAACCTTGGTGTCTCGACCATCCGTGATAACATTGTCGTTCGCCAGTTATACACGCATTATCCCAACGCGCATATTCTCAATAGACGTAGGTCATTCATGTACGCAAAATAATCTTGCTATTCAATAGACATACGCGGATTGTGACCTTGTGCATCGCAATGTGTTATAAAAAATAGAAGGCACCCTGCTTTGGTTCGATGGGGGTGAATATATTAAATATGGGGGTGAATATATCACTAACCTAAATATGTTCAATACACTTCTACCTTTTCCTAAATCAGAGCTTCCCTAGCCCTGTTCGTTTCCTCGCGCTTCCTCACGCTACGTGTACGAGAAGTCGAGAGTACGCAGCCTTGTGTTCCATCAACACAATTCTTACCAATTATCGTGTAAGGGCGTGCCCCGTTACACCTGGTAGCACTTTGCAATCCGTTCAACGACCAACCACCACCTCATTTGACATGAGCATGTTGGATAAGGAGAAAAGCTTTCACGCCACGCGTAAATGTTTAGACTTTCTAAGTGGCATCAAATGGAGTACGGTTCGACCTAGGAGTTCGATTACGGAGAAACCGCCATTAGCGCCATGTTGGGGTCTCTTAACAGAGACCAACAACATGCCGCGATAGCCATCTTCATTCAAAATGAATTTGTCTCCGAAAGAGAGAGGTAGTCTTGCTTCACTATCAAGGCTCTCAACAGACAGAGCTGTTGAGACAGCAGCAATTTAATGCTGCTGTGGGCGGGACGACACACACGCGTCGTCCCAAAATCTTAAAGGCAGATATCTCCGATTACAGAGAAGTCGAGGAGGAATTCCTGTTGTTATAATTTGTCGAACTAGACAGAGCCATGAAGGCAGGTCGTAGCGACGATGATCAAATAAAACTCACATTTGCTCAAACCCACTTGGCAGGACGTGCCAAAACTTGGGCCTTAAGGCTGGAGATGAGCAAACCATATGCTTTTGACCCACTTGAAGCCTTCAAAAACCGACTCAGACAAATGTATGAACCGCCACGGGCTGAGTTGATAGCTCGATTAGAGCTCCTGGAACCCAAGCAGGGTAAGCGTAGTGTGCACGCTTACGTTCAGCATATACGAAACCTCGCGAGTAGTGTAGAGAAGCGCATAATAATAATGATGGAAAGTGTGATCCGCGCCTACCGCATAAAATGCGAGATCGATTGGATTGGTGAAACGCGCTCGGAGATAGTCCCGTTGGCACGAATAATAGGATCAAACGACTAAATGACCGAAAACGACTGTGGAAACCATGCGGATTAAT